TTATATTATTCAAAATTGGAAGAATTGTCATCGAAATTTGACTGGTTATCTAATTTACATAAGGAGTATGATGAACATCTATGTCGCCTGGAAGGAGAAATTACCGAACTTTTGTCTTTTAAAACTGTATGTATGGATAAATTTTCTCTTCAGAATTATTATATAGACTCTGTACACAATGATTCGAAGAAAAATAACATTATCATTTCCAGTTTACGTGGTAATGATGAAGAATTAGTTAATAATGCTAATAGCTTTATTGAGTTGTATAAAAGACATAATGTCTATTCCTTTTATTAATAGTTATCGTATATTGGAAACTTGGCTTATATTGTTTGAGCTCTATACTCAAGATGACAAAAGAGTTATTTTTAAAAATTTAAAGAAAATTCAGGCATCTTCGTCCTACTTGTGCATTAGAGTGTTTGATAATTCATCATAAAGATCAAGACTAAGGCATAGAAAATTGTTGCCTTTTTTTGTGGAAGCCAAATCTTTGAATAAAAAAGTATTTCTGAAAGCCGATTGCCTGACGGTTGATGGTGACTAATTCATTTTCAATTTAGAAACTAATGAATTACAGAAGATTGATACTTTTTTAGACAAATCCATCCAAAAGCGTTAAGTGGGACAATTGCTAAAGAGAGAAATAAAACTTTAGTAATGAGAATATTGTCTTGGAATTGTCAAGGAATGCTGGATTTGATAGTGAATGACTCAAGAGTTTATATATTTATTGCAAAATTATGATCTAGTTGCTTTTACAGAGACTTGGTCAACTAACTCTTATAAACCGGTACTTTCTTTGTTGAACCCAGATTTGTTTTTATATGAGCAATTTGCTAAAAAACTAACTGGTCCTTGTCGTCTGTATAATGGTCTCATTCTTGTAGTTTCCCGAAAACTAGGTTCTTCAGAAATGTTCTTTAACTCCGACAATCTAATAGTGATTAGATTTAATTGTAAGAAAAATTTTTGTTCACCTAGTCATAGTTTGATAATTGTTCTTGTTTATTTGAGAGTAGATCTTTATGATGTACTGTTAAAAAAAATGGAAGATTTGTTGATTAATTTCTCTGAGGATGATATAGTTATTTTGGAAGACATGAATGCTAGAATAGGTGAGGAACTAGATAATTTTTATGCTGGGAGTAATACTAATGTACTAGATACACCCAACACACTTTATTGCTGAGTTTGTTTTGTTTAATAAATATATGTTCTCAGCAATAAGGTGTGTTGGGTGTATCTAGTATATTGCTTAAGAGGCTGAGTCGGAGTAAGTGGGTAATACTAATGTTTTAAATTCTTGAAGATCTAATGATTTAATATTAAATCAAAGAGGAAAAAGTTTTTTACAATTGATTAAGTCATACGGATTGTATATTTTAAAAGGTCAATGTGCCTCAGACTACCTGGCTAAATTTACTTTTCTTTTGACAGTTGGTCTATCTGTTATAGATCTAATAACAGTAAATGTAAATTTATTGGACAGATTACTGGATTTTAGAGTTCTTGATATTTCAATTCTGATCATTTTCCAATTTCAATATCATTTGAATTTACGACGGATAGTGTATTGACTCTGAAACTTCCAAAAATTTGCTACATATGGAAACAAGAAAGATTGGATGACTATTTATTGTTGATTGACAGCTCGCTATATACCTTGGTTAAAGCGACCTTTCTGTTGGATGTGCAGAGTTACTATGATGAACTATTGAAGACTTTGTTAACTTCAGCTTTATGATGCAGAATGGTTAAGAAAAATATTTCTTTATTATCATTTGAAAAGCAATCGTTTGATCCTCAATGTCTACATTTAAAGAAAACAAAGAATCAAGTACTACAAATGTTTTGTAGAAATAAAACTAGAAATCTATTGGATGAATATTGTAATTTAAATAAAAGTTACAAGTTGCTATATAAGGCATTGAAAAAGTTATTTTGGGCTAAAATAAACTCATTATTAATGAAGACAAAAAATACTAGTGATTTTTGGTCACTAGTTAATAAATTTTGAATTAAGAAACTGTGTGAAAATGTTATATCCCCTCAATTGGTTGAATTATTTGCAAGAATATTTCGTTGGACCAAATACAGTAATTTATATTGATTTAAGTTTTGGTAATAATGTTTCTCTTTTGGATGATTTTATTACTTTGAGTGAATTGGAAACTGTAATCAGAAAATTAAAATCATCTAAGGCCCCAGGACTTGATAATATAAGGAATGAAATGATAAAATAACTTTTTACAGAAATATTACTAGATATATTGAATATGTTTAACTTCTTTTGGTTTAGTGGCTCTTTTCCTTTATCTTGGGAACAAATTGCTTTAAGAATGATTTATAAGAGGGGAAGTAGGCAGACGACAACTAATTATAGACCAATTGCTTTAATTAGTGTATTTAGAAAGGTTTTTTTCAACTATTATGGCAAATCGTCTCCAGAATTGGATGAATGAGTTTAATATTGTTACACCTCTCCAAGGAGCATTTGTTAAAAATAGAGGCATTGCCTACAATTTGTTTATTTTGACTGGTCTTATTCAAATATCACTTTCGAGGAAATGAGGGAAACTATATACTGCTTTTATCAATCTCAAGAAAGATCGATACAGTCGATCATGATTTGCTATGGTATAAGCTTAGGAGCATTCGTCTTTCTGTGTTGTTTGTCAACTATTTTCTAATACTATCAATAGATATCGTGTAGAAACTTTTTCGTTTTGTACTGATTATGTTGAGTCCAATAGAGGGCTACCTCAAGGAGAACCATTGAGTCCTATCCTTTTTATTTTGTTTTTGAACAATCTTCTTAACCTTCTGAGAGGTCAAAGTTCTATGATAGCATTGTCTTCTCGTGTTGAGATTAACTGTCTTCTTTATGCTGATGATATCCTTCTCTTGGCTAATTCAGCTTCTTCACTTAGAGAAAGACTTGATCGTACTTGGAGATATTGTGAAGATGATTGATAATTAATTCAGAAAAGACAAAGCTTATGATTTTTCATAGAGGTGGAAAACTTAAAAAAACAGATAATTTTAGTTTGAAAAATCATAAACTGGAAAATGTGTCAAATTTTAAATATCTAGGTATTTATTTTTCTTCACATGCACATTCTCTTATCATTTAAATAAAGTTTTACTTGCTGCAAGATCTAAAAACTCCAATCTCATCAAGTTACTCATTAAAATTAAAGTGTCTTCATTAAATAATTATTTCAAATTATTTGATTCTTTAATTGCACCAAATGTTTTATACTTTTCTGGTTTGGGGCTGTCTTTTAGTAGACAAATTTGAATCAATACAGTTATTCTATTTTAAGCAGGTGTTCCATATTAATAGATCTGTCTCAGGACCTGCAGTGAGATTGGAATTGGGAAGACCTCCTTTAGCTATTGGACTGTTGATAAAATTGTTTAGATTTTGGAGGAAACTTATTGACCTACCAGATGATGACTTTCAAAATTTGGTATATACAAGACTTTCACAGATGGATGGTAATTCTTTTTTGAAGCCATGGCCTGCTATTACTAAAGGATTACTAAATAATATTGGATTGTCCTTTAATTATATGTATTTAAGTGAAACTTTGTTCTTTTTGGATTGTGATCAACAACTAAGAGACTTATATTGGCTAAAAGATGTTCATCATTTGAGTGAAAGAGGTTGGAACAGTGAACTTTTTCTTAATGAAATGTGGAGCCCAGCATCTTATTTACTGTCTAATTTGAATTATAAAATAAAGTCATTTGCTGCACAATTTAGACTAAATAGATTTTTGATAAACCTAAATGGTAAAATAATTAATGTCTTATGTGACTCCCAATGTTCTTTTTGTGGAATAACAGCAATGAATATGAGAAAACACTTTCTTGAATCTTGCAATATTCTTTTGGATGTTTGAGTTGCTACACTGTTATCTGATTTTTGTTACCAAATTTTATTCGGTGATAGTTTTACAATGCTAACTCTGTATAAATTATATANAAATATTTATGGCAGATATTTTACTATCATTTTCATCATGTTTAACTTAAATAAAACCAGCTGCAAAATATAGGTTAATTTTTAATTCATTCCAAAGACCACATATATTTCTTCTATATTGTTATAGTACTAATTATATTTTTCTCAAAATATTTTCATTTTTCAATTATTATTTTAGTTTATCATCTTTCCTTTTCTATTAAAAAAGATTGATTGAAATAGAATATAAATGAGATATTCTGTCTCAATTACTATATATTTCTTGGTTATTGATTGATTAGTGTTCAACATAATTTATTCTATGCAATATTTAGCTTGTTTTAAGTTTTTATTTAACTCTAAAAATATATAAAAGTAAAGGAAATATGCAACAGATATATGCCTTGTTCAATCTAAGTTTGTGCACTAGAAATGTGTTTATGAATCTTATCACATGTGCTTGTAACTAATCAAGATATCATTCAGGTGCTAGGCATTACATTGTGAAAGCAACATAGTTCTGCATAGCAGTGATGTATATATCCCTGTTCAAAAGCACCATATCCGTCAATTTGTCAGCTTTAAGTATGGCCACATTGTTAACCTTCATCCATGTTTTGCTTTCCCTGACATTGTTCCAAAATGCAGACTCTTGTCTCCAGCCTTTTAAGTTGCAGAGTTTTCAGGCTGTTTTCCATCTGAAGTATTCCTTTCTGGTGTTACTCACTCTTTCTATTACAACGAGGCAAAATATTATGTTATGCCTCGTTGTTTCTGGATCCAACAGATCTTGTGATGAAAAGTTCTATTTAAGTGATGCTTAGTTAAATAGAACACATAACATGCCCCTCAGAAATGACAAGGTAAAGTAGATCCTAAGAGAATACCAGCAGTGTATAGTTACTACTAACTAATGCCAGAAACAATCAAGAACATCAGTATATTGATGCAACAACACATNAAAATTGAGTAGTATTAAGAAGAATTTAAAAACATTTAAATTAATATTTTTTAATGTTTTAAGGTACATCATATGTTAAAATAAATGAATCATCAGAAAAGAAACCAATTTCAAATAATACTTCACCAGCAGTTATGTTTACACCATTCCAGCAAATTCTCAATCCTTCATTTCAAATTGTTACTCCTAATCAAATATCTACAAATACAGCTTCTGGACAGCTTTATCAGCAACAGTATATCCCTACACTTGTTTACATTCCTTATATATCAACTCAGAATCAGTTAATGCAACAGAATTTGTTAACACAAAAAAATCAAGAACAGAGACAAAAACAGTTGGTAAGTTTGATTATATTTTTAAAATTTTATATACTTGTAAATACAAATATTCTAACTTTTCACATGTTCGTGTATTTATCCTTTTTGTCTTAAAGTAGTTTTAGATGTACTTAATAAAATCATTTATCTACATTTAAAAAAATTTAATTCATTAAAAAAATTTATAGTTTATAGAAAATATATAAGTTATAAATATCAATTATTATTCTTAGTAAAAATAAATATGAAAAAATAAAATATTTTTTAGAAAATTGGAAAATTATTCTAGTTTTTATTATTTCAAAACAAAATTTAAATTAAATAATGCAAAATATTAGTCCCTAAACTAAAACTTGTATGAAATGCACAAATAACTAATGGATAATATTCAAGTTTAGAATAGATTTTGTCAATTTTCTGTTTTTGTGATTTTTTTCTAATGAAATATTTGTGACCGAAGGGTCGGCACCTCTTTGGTGCCCTGTCAGGATGACACCACCGCGTCTCGGCGGACACGGAAGCCGCGTTATTTAGGTCACGCGAGCGGTCGCGTAACGGAGCGATCAGAATCGAGATAGAAGGAGAGACAACGCACCGGAAGTGATTTACTCAGACGCTTTTTTAACGTAACAACTGTTTAATGGATAACGATAGGATATACATTAGGGCTGCTATTAGATACATTGCTCGCTTTAGTATATAATAGTATTAAGATATTACGATATTAAGATATNTCCTTATCCTGCTCCTTCTTCTGGCTAAACACTTAGTGTATAGCTGTTGTCTTTTGTTTTTTTTTTGTTGAAAATATTGATCTTCCAGTGAGATGGAGTAGACTCAAGGTGTGGTGGAATGGCATACTTTCAGTTTATCATTTCTGGGTGCACTAAAGGAAACCCATTCCACTACACCAGATGTCTACTCCATCCCATTGATGGAGTAGACATCTGGAAGACTGGAAGACCAGAGTTTTCAACAAAAGCTTACATATATGGGAGCACCATGCAGAACCTGGAAGCAAGGCTCAAGGAGTATCAATAAATGATTAACAAGAACATGAATAGCACAGTCTTAGTAAACTATGCAAGGCAAGCAGAACATACAGATTACATGGGAAGATGCAGCAATAATCCAATATATTATAAATTTTAACAACTCCTATCACTTGGAAACGACAGAAATATATATATATAGCTCTTAGAATAAAAATGTGCACGAATGTTATACATACACACTGCTTATTGTGGAAATGTATTTTTGAAACCTGAACTTTAACATTTGAGTGTTCAGAGCTTCTTGTCCATTTATTCATTTTTGTACTTAAATTTGTCAGGTTAACAAATATTGGACTAATCATATAAAGAAAAGTTTTAGAAGAGTAAACTTAATCACTTTGAATTATTTTTTGGGATGCATTTTGGGTCTGAATACCTCTTCAGTACTTGGCAATTCTCATAAAAAGGTTCTGAGTAAAATCACAAGGAAAGCACAATTTTAGTATAATATTAGCACAAAAGGTACATATAATATCATAAGCTGAGTATTAAATTATGATATGAAAATTTTTTTAAAAAAACCGAAATTAAAAGCAAAAAGAATTTATCTGGGAGAGTCATAGAGTTTTTGTATATCAATATTTTGATCTAGAAACTAAAAGTATGAATTAAAATAGAGCACTGGGAACTAAAGAATTAAAATAGAGCACTGGGGTTTAAACTATACAAATCAAATATTAAGTGACAAATAATTTTTTTTAAATATCTTTGTAAAATATTCAAATTAAAAAATTTCTCAATTTATGGAAAAAATTAAAACTCAGTAAATAAAATCACTTCAAATTATTGTAATATGTAAAACAATAATTTTAGGTGATTTTATTTACATAGTTTTCATTTTTTTCATTTTTTGAGAAATTTTTTTAAACTGAAATGAAATTATGAAAACTAATAATGCAGCAATCATAACAAAAAATATTTGTTATGTAACAATAGTTTAGTGTTAAAGTTGAGATTTTAATGTTGAAGATGATCTGCATAATGAAAAAATTCTCAAGGATTAACAATTGATTTATTTATATGGAAAGAAGTAGAAATTCATAAAAGCTATTCAAGAGATTACATTAACATTTGGATTTGAAAATTAATATATTGATCACTTTACTAGAATGGGTATATAACCATAAATCCTACAAACTCTATCAGAAAAAATTTTTGGATCAGTTCCTGTATCATTGCTTGTACAAAAGAAGAATTAACATTTTCTTTGGCAGTCTGTGCCACTGTGTCAACTACAGCAGATTTTATGGACTACTATAATTGGCTAATCAAATACTTCTTATGAGGCAAACACATATTAAGAAGCAGACAACTATGGGCTAGAACTTGACAAATTAATTACTCTGGCCCTAAAATTTAATTTGATTGTTAAAATAAATTATTTATATTATTATTAAATATACATTGTAATCTTAAAAAAACAGAAAAAATTTATCACATGGAATATAAAGATGTATTAGAATAATCAGTCTTACTAGGAAGAAAATCAAAATTGTTTTAATTATAGTACAGTAGAAGTTATCAAGTTTAATAATGAAGCTGAATATTTTGAGTTTAGAAATGTGTTAACATTTAATGCTTGGAAAGGATCATTAAAACGTATGAAAATATTTTCTTATTAATTTCATGATGTTTTTCATCCAGAGAATTAGCAAATGATATAGCACTAAACTTGTTTTCTATTGACTGCTTATTTTCTGTTTCCAGATACTGTTGCAGAAAAGTCAAATATTTTGCAACTTGATTTTCTGTATGTTTTCTGTATTGCAGAAATGGAAAGTTTTCTATACTATTCTGCAGTAGTTTCTGCAAATGGAAACAAGGCTTAAATGCTGAAATGCTTAGAAATTTTGTAAAATTGCTTTGTGAGTTTTCATTAATAATGTTAATATAAATTAAAGCATGGAATATGTAGATAAAATGAATCTTAGTCATAAGGTTAAAAAATATTGAAGGCTTAAATAATAACAATTTAAAATTTTTTCCAGGAAAATTCATCATCAAATGCCGGAGATATAATAAGTCAAGTAACGAATTTGAATATTAATTCACAGTCCCCACCTTCAACTAATTTAAATATATGTTCAGATGATTCTGGAAATTCCTCATCGCAAGGATATCCTGTTTCTGTGTTAAAAACAAAAAACATTATAGGACAAGGAAATTCTGTTGAGGTGATAATTTTATTTACTATTTTTTTAAATTTGCCTGGATGAAAACTTAAAAATTAATATTTACCAAAAATAAAGATCTTTGAAATTCACAAATATTGGTACCATTATAATAAGAAAAATTGGGGGGTACTTTTGACAGTGCTGGCTGTTGGCATATTTTTTTTCTACCACTTACTGTTACAAACTACAATTCAACTGGTTGCCTTAATTGACTTTATTGAGGATGTCTTTTTTTACTGTGATACTGTCTTTTCTAATTTTATTCTTTTTGCTTGTTATTGGAGGAGTTGAACTTAACCCAGGTACAATGTCTCGTACACCATCATCTTCACTTTGCAATAAAACTTCAACTTCTACTGGTAAACGTCGTCGATATCCAAGTGAACCAACATTGAAATCATCTCGACTGGACGACTATTTTTGCATCTCAGGGTAGTCCTTCTCAACTACCGCAGAAGATTCTGTGCTTTCTTGAGGAACGTTTTGATATTATTCTATCGTTAATATAACGTTTTATATTATTCAAAATTGGAAGAATTGTCATCGAAATTTGACTGGTTATCTAATTTACATAAGGAGTATGATGAACATCTATGTCGCCTGGAAGGAGAAATTACCGAACTTTTGTCTTTTAAAACTGTATGTATGGATAAATTTTCTCTTCAGAATTATTATATAGACTCTGTACACAATGATTCAAAGAAAAATAACATTATCATTTCCAGTTTACGTGGTAATGATGAAGAATTAGTTAATAATGCTAATAGCTTTATTGAGTTGTATAAAAGACATAATGTCTATTCCTTTTATTAATAGTTATCGTATATTGGAAACTTGGCTTATATTGTTTGAGCTCTATACTCAAGATGACAAAAGAGTTATTTTTAAAAATTTAAAGAAAATTCAGGCATCTTCGTCCTACTTGTGCATTAGAGTGTTTGATAATTCATCATAAAGATCAAGACTAAGGCATAGAAAATTGTTGCCTTTTTTTGTGGAAGCCAAATCTTTGAATAAAAAAGTATTTCTGAAAGCCGATTGCCTGACGGTTGATGGTGACTAATTCATTTTCAATTTAGAAACTAATGAATTACAGAAGATTGATACTTTTTTAGACAAATCCATCCAAAAGCGTTAAGTGGGACAATTGCTAAAGAGAGAAATAAAACTTTAGTAATGAGAATATTGTCTTGGAATTGTCAAGGAATGCTGGATTTGATAGTGAATGACTCAAGAGTTTATATATTTATTGCAAAATTATGATCTAGTTGCTTTTACAGAGACTTGGTCAACTAACTCTTATAAACCGGTACTTTCTTTGTTGAACCCAGATTTGTTTTTATATGAGCAATTTGCTAAAAAACTAACTGGTCCTTGTCGTCTGTATAATGGTCTCATTCTTGTAGTTTCCCGAAAACTAGGTTCTTCAGAAATGTTCTTTAACTCCGACAATCTAATAGTGATTAGATTTAATTGTAAGAAAAATTTTTGTTCACCTAGTCATAGTTTGATAATTGTTCTTGTTTATTTGAGAGTAGATCTTTATGATGTACTGTTAAAAAAAATGGAAGATTTGTTGATTAATTTCTCTGAGGATGATATAGTTATTTTGGAAGACATGAATGCTAGAATAGGTGAGGAACTAGATAATTTTTATGCTGGGAGTAATACTAATGTACTAGATACACCCAACACACTTTATTGCTGAGTTTGTTTTGTTTAATAAATATATGTTCTCAGCAATAAGGTGTGTTGGGTGTATCTAGTATATTGCTTAAGAGGCTGAGTCGGAGTAAGTGGGTAATACTAATGTTTTAAATTCTTGAAGATCTAATGATTTAATATTAAATCAAAGAGGAAAAAGTTTTTTACAATTGATTAAGTCATACGGATTGTATATTTTAAAAGGTCAATGTGCCTCAGACTACCTGGCTAAATTTACTTTTCTTTTGACAGTTGGTCTATCTGTTATAGATCTAATAACAGTAAATGTAAATTTATTGGACAGATTACTGGATTTTAGAGTTCTTGATATTTCAATTCTGATCATTTTCCAATTTCAATATCATTTGAATTTACGACGGATAGTGTATTGACTCTGAAACTTCCAAAAATTTGCTACATATGGAAACAAGAAAGATTGGATGACTATTTATTGTTGATTGACAGCTCGCTATATACCTTGGTTAAAGCGACCTTTCTGTTGGATGTGCAGAGTTACTATGATGAACTATTGAAGACTTTGTTAACTTCAGCTTTATGATGCAGAATGGTTAAGAAAAATATTTCTTTATTATCATTTGAAAAGCAATCGTTTGATCCTCAATGTCTACATTTAAAGAAAACAAAGAATCAAGTACTACAAATGTTTTGTAGAAATAAAACTAGAAATCTATTGGATGAATATTGTAATTTAAATAAAAGTTACAAGTTGCTATATAAGGCATTGAAAAAGTTATTTTGGGCTAAAATAAACTCATTATTAATGAAGACAAAAAATACTAGTGATTTTTGGTCACTAGTTAATAAATTTTGAATTAAGAAACTGTGTGAAAATGTTATATCCCCTCAATTGGTTGAATTATTTGCAAGAATATTTCGTTGGACCAAATACAGTAATTTATATTGATTTAAGTTTTGGTAATAATGTTTCTCTTTTGGATGATTTTATTACTTTGAGTGAATTGGAAACTGTAATCAGAAAATTAAAATCATCTAAGGCCCCAGGACTTGATAATATAAGGAATGAAATGATAAAATAACTTTTTACAGAAATATTACTAGATATATTGAATATGTTTAACTTCTTTTGGTTTAGTGGCTCTTTTCCTTTATCTTGGGAACAAATTGCTTTAAGAATGATTTATAAGAGGGGAAGTAGGCAGACGACAACTAATTATAGACCAATTGCTTTAATTAGTGTATTTAGAAAGGTTTTTTCAACTATTATGGCAAATTGTCTCCAGAATTGGATGAATGAGTTTAATATTGTTACACCTCTCCAAGGAGCATTTGTTAAAAATAGAGGCATTGCCTACAATTTGTTTATTTTGACTGGTCTTATTCAAATATCACTTTCGAGGAAATGAGGGAAACTATATACTGCTTTTATCAATCTCAAGAAAGATCGATACAGTCGATCATGATTTGCTATGGTATAAGCTTAGGAGCATTCGTCTTTCTGTGTTGTTTGTCAACTATTTTCTAATACTATCAATAGATATCGTGTAGAAACTTTTTCGTTTTGTACTGATTATGTTGAGTCCAATAGAGGGCTACCTCAAGGAGAACCATTGAGTCCTATCCTTTTTATTTTGTTTTTGAACAATCTTCTTAACCTTCTGAGAGGTCAAAGTTCTATGATAGCATTGTCTTCTCGTGTTGAGATTAACTGTCTTCTTTATGCTGATGATATCCTTCTCTTGGCTAATTCAGCTTCTTCACTTAGAGAAAGACTTGATCGTACTTGGAGATATTGTGAAGATGATTGATAATTAATTCAGAAAAGACAAAGCTTATGATTTTTCATAGAGGTGGAAAACTTAAAAAAACAGATAATTTTAGTTTGAAAAATCATAAACTGGAAAATGTGTCAAATTTTAAATATCTAGGTATTTATTTTTCTTCACATGCACATTCTCTTATCATTTAAATAAAGTTTTACTTGCTGCAAGATCTAAAAACTCCAATCTCATCAAGTTACTCATTAAAATTAAAGTGTCTTCATTAAATAATTATTTCAAATTATTTGATTCTTTAATTGCACCAAATGTTTTATACTTTTCTGGTTTGGGGCTGTCTTTTAGTAGACAAATTTGAATCAATACAGTTATTCTATTTTAAGCAGGTGTTCCATATTAATAGATCTGTCTCAGGACCTGCAGTGAGATTGGAATTGGGAAGACCTCCTTTAGCTATTGGACTGTTGATAAAATTGTTTAGATTTTGGAGGAAACTTATTGACCTACCAGATGATGACTTTCAAAATTTGGTATATACAAGACTTTCACAGATGGATGGTAATTCTTTTTTGAAGCCATGGCCTGCTATTACTAAAGGATTACTAAATAATATTGGATTGTCCTTTAATTATATGTATTTAAGTGAAACTTTGTTCTTTTTGGATTGTGATCAACAACTAAGAGACTTATATTGGCTAAAAGATGTTCATCATTTGAGTGAAAGAGGTTGGAACAGTGAACTTTTTCTTAATGAAATGTGGAGCCCAGCATCTTATTTACTGTCTAATTTGAATTATAAAATAAAGTCATTTGCTGCACAATTTAGACTAAATAGATTTTTGATAAACCTAAATGGTAAAATAATTAATGTCTTATGTGACTCCCAATGTTCTTTTTGTGGAATAACAGCAATGAATATGAGAAAACACTTTCTTGAATCTTGCAATATTCTTTTGGATGTTTGAGTTGCTACACTGTTATCTGATTTTTGTTACCAAATTTTATTCGGTGATAGTTTTACAATGCTAACTCTGTATAAATTATATAATTTCTTTGTTCATGTATCAAACTTAAAATAACAAACTTTTTAATCCCCTTTGTAATAACACTGGTTATATCAAATAAAGATTGATTGATTGATGATAATAAGAAAAATCCTTCCAAACTGCTTGTTCTTTTCTTTATTTTTGGTGTTCTTGTGATTTTTTAATTTTTTCTAACCTGACTGACCTATTTGATATCTTTATAAGCTTTTGCTTACATGAGGTATTGAGAATTCCAGGGCCTCACCTTTAGACCTTCCTCTTTTGTATTGTTGATAATTTCCATATTGGATTAACATTTTTGAGGGAATGAAGGGGCAATAAGTTAATTGTAGAGAAAATAATTGTCATCAATATTATACACACAATTTGATATAGGCAACAAAGGCCCCAAGATATTTCTGATTGGGATCAAAGTTGATGGTGAACATAATCTATGTTGACCTTTCTCATAGTCAAGAAAGATTCGAATTTCATTTGGAAACAGGTGAATTGC